TATTTTTTTATTTATTTATTATGAAGATTGATTATTTAATTTTACAAATACAATAGTTTTTTTATTTATTTTTATTTATTTTTTAATTATTTGAGGTTATTATTTTTTCTTTTATTATTTCTTTATAAAAAAAGATTATTAAGATTAACCTAAATAATATTATTTATTTGATTATATATAATTTTAAAAACAAAAATGGTCGAAAAAAAATTTTAAAAAAAAAAAAATAAAATTTAAAAAAAATTTTTTTTTAAAGAATTTAAATTTTGGACAAAACTATTGCTCTTTTTTTTTTTTTTTTTTTTTTTAATTTTTGGTTTTGATATTTATTTTTGGGTGGGGATGAGATTAAATGATATTTTACTTTATTATAATTGATGATGGTCTTAATTTTTATTATATAAAATGCTTTATTTTATTTTTTTTATAATACATAGATAAATAAATAAATAAATAAATAAATAAATAAATAAATAAATAAATAAATAAATAATATATATGAATAAATATAAGAGTGAGTTAAATGAATTTGACTTTGTGTGAAAAAAAAAAAAAAAAAAAGAAAAGAAAAAAAATATTTTCTGTTTTAAAATTTTATTTTTAATTTAATTTTATTAAATTTTATTTTATTTTACAATCACACATAATCTCAAATAAAATTTATTTTTAAACACAGATCTAATTTCATTTCATTTTGAATCTAGATATAAATAAATTAAAATAATGATAAGTAGTAAAAGTAAAAGTAGAGAGAGTGATTTTAATAAATATGTTTTGTGTGGTGTTTTTAATTTTAGTGGTGGTATTATTATTAATTATAAAAAAATGTGGGGGGTTGAATATGTGGGGGGATGTTAGTGTTCTATTCGAATATTAATTTATTTTTATAAATAAAAAAAATTAATTAATATAAAAAAGCTATAATAACATCACTACATATTACGCAAAATATTTATATATATAATACATATTCATATCGTTATGGATAATGCATTTAATATTAATGTAAAATTAAATGAATAAAAAGTAATTAATTTTTATTTTTCTTATCTTTTAATTGAATTTTCTTTATATCAGTGTTATTATTATTATTAATGTAAATTTGGTATTTAATCTTTTTTTTTTAAACAAAACGAAACAATAACAACATTAATTTAGAAATCATTTAAATAATCAGACAAAATGGCAATAAAAATAATAATAATTTAAAATTCAAATCAATTTTATTAGAGTTTATTTGAATAATCGTAATCAAAATAATTATCTAAAATTATATAAAAAAAAAGGTAGGTAGTAATATTAGTATTATAATTCTTTTATTACTATTGTTTTTTAATTTTTTTACAAAAAAGGAAAAAAGAAAAATTTTCAGTGAGAAGATTAATCATCATTATTCTATAAGACAAATCCACTTTATTACTTTTCTCAATTACTTTTTTAAAATCATTATAATTCTTTCGGAATGAATGCAGTGATAATGATTTAGAAAAACTAATTTTAAAAGAGTATATAAAGTGAATCGCGATAATGTAGTTTTGCATCATTTAAATTTTCTTTTTAATTTTATTTGCATACTATAATGAATAGATACTTACTTTTGTAGAAATAATTATTTACACATACAACATTGTTGTGGATGATCAAAAAAAAAAAAAAGAAAAAAATTTGTAAAAAATTTGATTAAAAACTTTTTTTAATTTTTTTAATTTTTTTAATTTTTTAAATATTTATTTTTTATTAATTTTTTAATTTTTATTATGATACAATATGGTATTTTCCTTGGTTATATTGAAGTGCATAATCTATTTTGGTATTTAGTTGATATGCTAATTCATATGTAAAGTTTGGATTACGAAGAAAAGGACGACCAAATAAAATAAAATCAGCAGAGTTATCCAATAGAATTGATTCAGCTTGATTGCCGGTTGTAATAGATCCAACAGTTGAGATTAGCATTTTTGAGATACCTGGTGATTCTTTTATAGATTTAGCAAATGGGACTTGATACATTGCACCACCTTTAATCTTTTGATGTTGATTATTACCACCACTTGATACATCCAACCAATCGATGCCTACTTCTTCAAGTTTTTTGGCTAATTGAATAGAGTCTTCAATAGTCCAACCTTGAGATCCAACCCATTCTTCTGCAGATATACGAACTAAAATTGGTTTGTTTGATGGCCAAACTTTTTTAACTGCATCAATAATTTCAAATAAAATTCTTGTTCTATTCTCGAAACTGCCACCATATTGATCAGTACGAGTGTTTGATGTTGGTGAAAGGAACTGCATTGCAAGATAGCCATGGCTAAAATGAAGTTCACATGCATCGAATCCAGCTTTATTTGCTCTAATTGCACCATGTTTAAAAGCATCTATGACTTCCTTAATGTCATCGATTGACATTTCAACCGGTTGTGTCATTTGGTCGCTCCAAGCGATTGGGGATGAGCTTAATTGTTGCCAACCTCTACCATATTGATCATTTGGTGAAATCGACGAATGGCCACCTTCTTTAGAGAATGGAATTGATGATGATGATTTTCTACCAGCATGGGCTAATTGAACACAAACTTTGGTATCAAAGAGATGAGCAAAATCTATAATCTTTTTTAATGGTGCAATATGATTATCTGACCAAATTCCAAGATCAAGATAAGTAATTCTTCCCTCTGGTAAAACTGCAGTAGACTCCATTATTATCATTGAGGCACCACCTTTAGCAAAGCCGCCATAATGCACATAGTGCCATTCATTGGCAAGACCGCTATTTCCAGAACTAGAGTATTGACCTAAAAATAATAATAAATTTATTAATTTTTTATTTTTTTTTAAAATTTATCTATTAAAATATACTTACACATTGGACTTATAATTACTCTATTTCTTAATACCATTTCTTTTATTTGAATTGGTGTAAATAGTTTTGGAGTTTTTTCATTTAACTCGATTGCAGAGCCAGTTGATTTATAATTATTTGGTTTTTCGAAATTAAGTAATTTATAATTAAATTCTTGCATTTTTTTTATATATTTATATGTTTCTTTATTTGTATTTATTTATTTATTAAGTTGGTTTTGATTTGAACATTTGGATGATTATTTTTTTTATTTATAGTTTTTTTCTTTTACCAAATCTGAAAAAATTATTTATTGCCCACAAAAAAGACTATTTATAAATTGCTTTCAGAAACATTTGAATACCTTCAGAAGCATTTTATATATTTATTTATTTGATAAAGTTATAATTGATCATTTTTATAAATAAAACTAAAATAAATGTTTCCAGAGTGTTTCCAGAATACCACATCGCTAAAATGAAATAAAATTTTTTTTAAAAAATTAATTTTTTTTTTAAAATTTAATATTTTTTTTATTTTTTTAATTAAATTCATGGTTTTATAAAAAAAGACATTTATTTCAGATTATTAATATTTAAAAAAAAGATTAAAAAAGAAATTTGATATATATTTCAATCACTGTTTTTTATTTTTTTTATTTTTTTTTATTTTTTTTTATTTTTTTTTATTTTTTTTTATTTTTTTATTTATTTTTATTTTTATAGTTAATGATAGAATAAAACACTATAAATATATAAATATAGGGAAAAGTAAGTAGTTATATATCGAGTGTTTATTACCCGCAGAGTGGTAGTTTTTACCACTAATGTTGGGTTTATATTTTTTTAACCCCCATACCTCCAGTATTTTTTAATAAATAGTTGTGTTTTTTATTATACATGTTAATAATTCTGTTCAAACAATTTATTTAAATAAAAATAAATTTTATTAAAATTTATTTTAAAAAAAAAAATTTTACACCCACATAAACCCCAATAATTTTTCGTTCCCATATACTATAAAACATTTTCATATATATTTCCCTATAAAAAAAAAATAACATAATAATAAATTTAAAAAAATAATTCTCACCTTTTTTTTTTTTGTATATATTAATAAATAAACTTTTACACATTTACATTTTATATTTACATTTTTAAAAATGAATGGAAAATCAAATAGTAGTGTTGTAAAGAAAAAAGAAATAGAAATTGAATCAAACGACAAGAAAATACAAAAAAGAAAAGAAAAGTATTTAAAAAAGGTATCAATCGATCATGTTGATGACGAAGAATTTAGAAGACTTTATTATTTTGATAAAAGAATAGTAAAAACACTTTATAACAAATTAATTCAAGTCAACAAAAAGCTCAAAGAAGAGTATCTACTTTGGGCTTTATCATATCTTTTATTCAAACACAGCCATGAAAAGAAAGCAATGGAATATGGAGTCTCTAGAAGAACTTACCAATGTCGAATATGGGATGTATTTAATGCAATAGATTCATTAAAACCAATAGTATGTATATTTAAAATATATTGGTAAAATAAAACCACAAAATTAAAATAATATTAATATTAAATTATTTTAAATAATCAATTAGACAAGTTTTTCAGATAGGAAAAAAACATCAATTAAAAATGAATTTAATAGTTCAGAAGAAGAGTCATATATTTCATTGATTTTGGATGTTGCATTTTTCCCATTTTCAAATAGAGAGGTTCAATATGTTGGAAAGGGTGGACCAGGTTTAATATATGAAATTGGATTCTCACCAATAGATGGTGAGATACTCTATTTAAATGGACCTCATCCAGCAGCTTTTCAAAACATTATGGTGTTTAGAGAAGGTTTTCTTTATGACACTGACTTTGAAAAAGGAGAAATGGTTCTTGGAACCAAGTCCCATAGAGGCGAACCAGATAAGATTATTACACCACATTTAGATCCATCAAATACAGAACAAGAATTACAAAACAATTGGTTAAAATCAAAAAGACAGGTATCCGATAAAATCATGGGCATTATAAAACAATTTAAAATTTCTCATACTGGTTGGTCTTCATCCATCGAAAAGCATCAATTGGCAATATCATTTTTATTATACGCAATCAATTTAACAATCATCAGAGATCGTGACCCAAAATTATTGGATGAAATCAATGATAGACACTCCGATATTAGCTACCAACAACACTTACAACAACAACACCATTCACAAAGTCATCAACCACATCACCCATTACAAGTTCAACCCCAAAGTATATCACTCTTTCAATCTCACCTTTTTAAATCTCACCTTCTCCATCAACCTCAATATAACGACGAAGAAAATGATCATGACGACGAAGAAGATACCGAATACGATGAACATAATAATAATAGACTTAACAAATATATAATCAATAATATCAAAAATAAGAATAATCTAAAATATATTAATAATCTTAATAATAGTAATTCCACAATTTCCACAATCAATAATACAAATAGTTACGAAGATTATGACTCTGATGAAGAAACTATAGAAAATCACTCAAATTCAATATTTACAAAAAATAATCATTTAAACAAACCTATGTTCTTTTGTATTAGTAGCAGAGCACATATTGAAAAGGTTTAAATCACTATTATATACCAAAATCAATTTAGAAAAAAAAAAAACAATAATAAAACTCTTTATTTTATAGTATATTACTCTAGAAATTATTGATTTTTTTTTTTTTTAATAGTTTGAAATTACATCAAAAACCACATTAAAAGTGTAATTCATTATGTGGAGTTTACAAAAAAAGGTAAAAACATTAAATTTTAGTATATAATAGATTCAATGTTTATTTAAATTAAAACTATAAATTAATATTAAAAATTGACTCAAACGAGTCTATAATTTGGTAGTAACGAAACTATTTGTTGTTACTTGGATTTAATTATCTTTTCTAAATTTTCATCTTTTTTCTTTAATCTTTGAATATCAATTATGATTTTATCTATACTTGATTGATTTGATTTATGTTTTTTATTAAAATTTTCTGAAACATTTTGAATCTCCATTCTGATATCATTTATACAAGATTGATTTGAACTTTTATTTTGTTTGCACCTTTCTGAAAATTTTTGAATTTCAGTTTTGATATCATTTATAAAAGATTGATTTGCTATTTCATTTTGTTTGCAGATATCAGATACATTTCTAATTTCAATACTTATTATTTTTGAAAAGTAAATAACTTGATTTTTTAATTCATCAACCTCATTCTTTAACTTTAAATTTTGCTCTACTAAAAGCTTGATATTGTTTTCTTTTTCTTCATCTACTTTTTTCTTTTCTGAAATTAATTTGTGTAAATTAACTTTATATTTTTTTGAATGGAGAAAAAAAAAAAAAAAAAAAACAAAAAAAAAAAAAAAGAATTAGTATTTTAAATATTAACATTTATAGAATTATTTTTATTGGTTACTTTTATTCTCTAAATTATTTGTTGTATTCATTATTAATATTATTAATAAAAAAAATAAAATAAAATATAATAAAAAAAAAAAAGTAAAAATAATTAAAAATAAAAATAAAATAAAAAACAGTATCGTATTTACATTTTGTTTGTTGAGATCTTCAATAATTGTGTTTTATTTATTTATTTATTATATTTATTATTATTTTCCATTATCTGATATCTTTGCTTGTTTGTAAAAATATATAAATATCTCGACTAACCGTTTGAGAAAAAAAATGAAAAATAATAAAAAAATAAAAATTTTTAAAAATAAAAATCAGAAAAAAGTATTTTTTTTTTGATTTTTTTTTTTTTTTTTAAATTTATTATTTGAAAAAACCATTTTTTTTTTTTTTTCTATAGTTAAAAATTATTTATTTATTTTTGTGTGTACTTTTATAAAATAATTATTTATGTCATTTTTGTAATTTTAATCAAAAAAAAAAAAAAATTAAAATTTTTTAAAAAAAGAATTTGAAATTAATTTTCAAATAAAATAATTTTAGATAGCAATAAATAAATAAATAACAATATCAGCAATACAAATAATAACAACCACAATATCAGCAAATATATCAAATAGTATTGTGATATTTAATATATAAATAAAAATGAAGATTGGTAGTGGTAGATTTAAATGGTCTAAATTACCAGATGCACCTCCAACACCTAGTTCACCTAATACTAGTAGTAGTAGCAAGTCATCCACCAATTTAGCATACACAGATTCCATCAATAGAGAGTTATCAGGTATAAATTTAAATGATTCATCTAGAATTGCAGGATCACAATCAAAATCATCAGGAGCATTATTACAAAAACAAAAATGGGGAGATGAAAAGGGTGCACCAAACGACATCTATCAATTATTAGCAGAGCAAAAACTTACAGACGAATATATTTGGGGTGGCCATCCAGATCTTTTTCCTATTATTCATCAATACTCTGAAATGTTATCAGCTAAAGCATCAAGTAGTAATACAGCAGGAAATGTCTTATCAATTAATTTACCAGAAGCTTCAGAATTTGGTGATATTAAGAAAAAGAGTTATAAAATTGGTAAAAAGTTAACTGTAGCACAAACTGTAAATTTAATTTGTAAAAAGCAAAATATCAACAACCCAAGAAGATTTTGGTTATCAACATTAATGGGATGTATATTAAATGACGAAATGTTATTATCTTCATATGGATTTGGCACATTTTTCGACAGTTGGGAACTAAATTTAATTCCAAAGGATATCTACACATCAAGATTGCTCACAGATTTTCCAATAGAAAATTTTGGAGAATTCGTTGTCGATTTTCAATTACCTCCACTTAAACAATTTGGTGGTTTAAAAAAGAAAAGAATTAAAGTTGATTCAAATATACCAATTTTACAAGTAAGTAGTTAGTTTTATTTTATTTTATTTATGTAAAAAAAAAAAAACAAATATTAATTTTTATTATATTTTATAAAAGATTTTAAGTCAAATATGTAATAAATATAAAATTGAAGAACCAGAAAGATTTTCAATTATATCCACCGATGAATTTCCGCTAGTATTAAATAATCAAGCTACACTTTCTCACTATGGTTTAGGCACTATAATTTCAACAATGGAGCTAAATATCGTATTTACCGAATTTATACCACCCTATTCATTAAAAAATAATAGCATTCCTACATATGGTGCATTTCAAGTTGGTAATGTAAATCCGGTCCAATCAAAGGCTGTTATTATTGATTTGGAGAATAAGCTTCAAGATAGTTTAGCTTTGGGTGAAGATATGGTACAGAATATTAAGAATTTAGTACAGGAGCTTAAAGAAAAAGAAAAAGAACTAAAAGATAAAGAGCAGCAACACTTTACAGTTATGAACCACATTGAAGAGAAACTTACTACTATTAAAAAGAATGTTACCATCGAAAGAGAGAGCCATTCAAAGCAAATTGCTGATTTAAAACAAGAAAAAGAGAACCTTCAAGATCAAATTAACCAATTAAAGCAACAAATAGAAGATTTAAATGCAACTTTATTCCAAGAAAGATCAAACAATACTGAACAAACACTCAAATTTAATTATGAAATCACTACCCTTAATTGTAAAGTCGAGCAATTAGAACAAGATAATCAAGAATTGAAATCAAATATCCAGGATCAAGAGGTTCTTTATGAAAATTTACGTACCCAAAAAGAAGAGGAGTATCAACGTTTCTGCGAGCAAGCTTTACAAAAAGAAAAGGAGAAATTAGATCTTTGTTCAAAATATGAAAACCATATTAAACAATTACAAAGAGAGCACGAAGAAAAAATCAAACAAATATTTAAGGAGCTTCAAGATAAAGAAAAAGAGCAGGAGGAAATTTCAAATAGAATTTATAATGATGTATCTGAAAGATTTAGCACACCAATAGAGCCAATTGGTAGCACAGGAATTAGTGATGATAGTGGTTTTAGTTCGATCGAAAGAGAGCAGCTTTTATCATCAGTTCAAAGATTACAACAAGAGATTATTGATCGTGACGTTATAATAAAACAGGTTTATCCAAAGAAAATACAAACTATTGAAACCAATTTCAAGAAATTAGATGAAAAACTAAAGGAAACCGAAAGAGAAAATCAACAATCAAAACAAACTATTGCTTTAAAGAGTTTAGAAATTGTAGAGTTAAATCGTCAAATTGAAACATTAAAGAATAATAATGAAGAAATTCAAAACAAATTAAACCATTCAAATAATCTATACAATGAAGAAGAAAAGAAAAATAGAAGATTACTCAATGATTTATCAACCCTTAAAGGTCAATTTGAAAATGAAGTTTTAGAAAATCAACAAAAAGCTCAATTAATAAAACAGATGGATGAATCTAGAATTGAACAAGAGTTTAGATTTAAAGAACGTGAAGCTTTCTTATTAAATGAAATTGAAGAATTAAAGAGACCAAAACCACCACCACTCCCCACATTTAAAGTTGAAAAACCAAAATCACCAGATTCCTCAAGTGATAAAACCATTCAAGATGTTAAAAAGTATTATTTAAATTTTATTTTATTTCAGAGTATAATATTATAGTTATTAATATTATTTTTTTTTACAAAGCTCGCTTAAACCAATACCAAATATTCCACCCCCACCAAGAGAGCATACTATTGCTACAGTTGCCGATTTATTATTTGTATCAATGCAGAAAAGATTTCAAAGTATTCAAGGTATTGACGATGTAGAAGATTTGGACGAAGATTTGGATGATGGTGAATTTGATGATTAAAAAAATAAATAAATAAATAAAAAATAAAATAAACTTTAATATATTTTAATTATATTATTATATAGTTAATAATATATAGCATTATTATAAAATTATTTTTATTTTTAATAATTTAATTTGTAATTTCGGCTAAATAAAAGTTTGAGTCTGATAAACGATAGAAATTATCCCAATAACCAGCAGATAATATACCACCATAACCCTTTCCACGGAAATCTGGACCTGTTACTACAAAATCTGGGGCAGTTATAACACCACTTCTCTGTGGAATGGCATGTAAACTGTTATCTAGACCTAAAGAGTCTGTTCCTGCAACTACTAAAATTAAATTTTCACCACACTTGTTTGGCATTAAAAATGCAATACCAACACCTGCTCCACTAAATAGATATGAATCTGGGCCACCAATGGTAAATGAATTATCTAAATTGAAAATTACATCTGATCTAAAAAGATTTTTATCTGTTATAATATTTTCATTTGAATTACCAATTAAAATCAAGTTTTCGCTGCATGAGGTGTCTTGAATTGATAATTGTTCGAGGTACTCTACATCTGAAAGGATTGAAACAGAACCTCGACCATAGTTGTTCCAAAAGTTGTTGATGTATATACCGGCTTGCTTTTGTTGAGCAATGGTTTGAGTATTGTTTGAAACAGTTCCATATACAATTTTGAAATTCTTTTCAAATATTTGTCTAATTGGGCCATATGTGGCTGGATTCTTTTCATATGTGATCCAGAGGTTATCTTCATTTACAACCCATCTCTTTTGATTTGATCTTGCATAAAATGGTTTGTTTTCGAAATGGGCATTTGGGTAAAAGTATTGATTAACAAATTCTTGTTTACCATCAATTACTAATATCTCTGGAAACTCTTGTCTTACTGGCTCTGGAGTAATAGAGAATCTTCTGACGTTTTGAGTTTCTAAATACCAAATTAATTGATTGTTTGAATTATATACTTGAGTTAATTTGATTTTTGCTAATTTGAATGGAGTCCATAATTGAAGGATTAAAATATTTGCTCTTGAACCTGTTCCTGATGGATTTAAGGTGCTAATTGTAATTGATTTTGGAATTGGTGGGAGATAAGTACTATAATTTCCCATTAGGTTATTATAATATGTTTGCATGTAACTATCTGAAAGCATACCATCAAACCAATGATTTTCATTTGGAACTTCGCTAACAATAACAGCATTTTCGTCATGACTTTGCTCTGATACCATCTTAACAATACGACGTGAATGGTATGGGTTAACTACTGTATCATTTTCACCATATCTTGCCATTAATGGTAAACCAACAAGATTTGAACTGATAATATCAACATTATTCTCTTCAATGCTAATCATTAGTAATGATTTTAATGCATGATCTATATAGCTAAAGCCTTGGGAAAGTTCATATGAAATATACATTGATAGTTTTGGGAAACCTGAAGCACATGCTCCACCTATAGCTAAATCACCTTGACGTACTAATAAATTCCAACATCCCATACCTTAAATAAAATTTTAGTAAACCATAAATTTAATATCATTTTATAAAATAAATTTATTTTAAATATATTATTTAAATCCCTCTTACCTCCCATTGAATGACCAATAAATAATATTTTTGATGGATCAGTTTTGTATAATGATTTGCTTTGGCTTGGTACACCTGGTAACAATGTTGCTACAGCTTGAATAGAGTAAAATACATTTATTCTGCTTGAACTTGCCCAATCATAACTAAATTTATAAATTTTATAAATAAGAATTTTAATATATAAAAAAAAAAAACCATATGACACTTACCCACAATTAGTACGACCAGTAGGCATTACAACCCAAAGATTATTTTGACGATTAAAGTTGGTAAACCAGCTTGGATCTCTATAGTTTTAAGTATTAGTATATATTTTTTATTATTTTAAATAAAATTTTACTAACCTTGTAACACCCAAAAAACCATGAGTTGCTACTTGAATCATGCAAGAGTTTGATTCTAAACCACATTCATTAAGTGGTGACATTAACATTGCATATTGAACAGTTTGATCAAAATCTAAGAATGTAAATAAATATGGATTATTAAAATCTGTGCAGTTAAATGGGATTTGAGTATAGAACTGTTTTTCTTGGCCAAGGTCATTTAAAATTGATACTTGAATATCTAAATTGAATGGACATTCTAAAACTTTATTATTATATTTTAAATAGATTTCAAATGGAATTGAAAATCTTTGACCTGCTAAAACTTTGGTTGAGTTTTGAATTAATGGATTAAGATTAAATAACCGATGACCATTACTGTTGTCTGATAAACTAATATTGAATGATTTGATATCAGCTAAACCGGAATTAATTAATGTGATCGAACCATAAGAACTTGCTAAAATTCCACTTACAACATCTGAAATTAGGGACTCAGTTGTAATAAAAGTAATATCGTCTTGAACTGGTACTAAATTGCAATGGAATTGAGAGAATGCAGATCCATATACTCTTGTACTACTTAACATTCTAAAGTAAACTCTATAGTCTTGTCCTTGTTGTAAATAAATTGTTTGTTGACCATTACCATATGCAAAGAAATCACCACTAAATTCTTGTATTTCTGAAGGATTTGATTTTGATTGAATATAAAAGGTACGAAGATTGGTACAGTTTACAATATAGTTTGATGATTCTGTAGCAGTAAAATCACCAATTGCATAAGAGTACCATAAATATATGGCCCAATCGAAAGGCATGTCCATGAAACCCCAATTTATTGTTGATGACCAATCAATTTGAAGAGAACCTGGTGTTGTAGAATTATAAACGGACCATCCAACAACTGAGTTTTTTCCTAATTCTGATGGGTATGTTGTGTTATCTCCAATTGGTATATTAAAAATTCCTCCATAGGATTCTAAGGTATCGTACACTTCTTCATGTTCCCCAATAGAAAAAGGACCAATAACATTATATGTACTTGGAAGGGAAGTACATTCCATATAATTGATAATAAATAATATAAAAAATAATAAATATTTCATTTTGAAAAAAAAATCAAATTTACAAAATTTAAAAAAAAAAAAAAAAATTTTTTTAAATAAAAAAATCTTTTATGTTTTGGTTCTGGTATTTTTTTTTGGGTCGGAAATTTTAACCTAAATTTTTAAGAGGTGTCCAAAGAAATAAATGGTTTTTAAAATGACACCTCTTAAAAATTTAGGTTAAAATTTTCGAACTATTTTTATCAAACAGGGAAAAAGTTTTTTCGTTAGAGTATTTTCAAGATTGTTTTGACCCAGATTGATCAAAAATTTTAATTATTGTGTAAATATTGTGTAAATATATATGAAAATTCTTAACCCTCTTTAATGAACCAATTGGCTATATCTTTTAATTGTTTTAAATTGTCTTTCGGAATTAAAATTGTTTTTACCGACTATCTTTTAGCTGCAAAAATTTTATTGGTAAAACCTGTAACACCAATGACTTTACCAGTGAGAGTAATTTCACCAACCATCGCAAAATCTAACTTGCCGGCCTTGTTGGTAGCTAATGATAAATTTTATCACTGTGATCTAAGAAATGGTTTGATGGACTCCTGATGAGCTAAAAATTCTTTAAATATAAGATATATAAATGATTGTACGAATACACTCATTTTTAAGTATGAATCAATAAAACTTTCTGTTTGAGTAATTTCATAGATACCATATATTCACTGTAACATTTTTAGGTTTTTATTAGAGAAAATAGAAAAAATATACGAACAAATAAATTTTTAGAATGATTTAATTATCTAATAATTAAATTAATATTTTTTTTATTTTATTTTTTAAATTTAATTTTTTAAGCAGTAGTTGTGGCACGACCTACTGTTGTTACACCAGCGGTTGTTGCACGAGCTACTGTTGTTGCAGTTGTTGCACTAGCTACTGTTGTTGCACCAGTGGTTGTTACACCAGCTACTGTTGTTACACCAGCGGTTGTAACACGAGCTACTGTTGTTGCAGTGGTTGCACCGGCTACTGTTGTTGCAGTGGTTGCACCGGCTACAGTTGTTACACCAGCGGTTGTTACACCAGCTACTGTTGTTGCAGTGGTTGCACCGGCTACAGTTGTTACACCAGCGGTTGTTACACCAGCTACTGTTGTTGCAGTGGTTGTTGCAGTGGTTGATGTACCTGTTGTGGAAGTAGCAGTGGTAGTTGATGGGGTAGTGGTTGTAGAAGTGGCAGTGGTAGTTGATGGGGTAGTGGTTGTAGAGGTGGCAGTGGTAGATCCTGGTGCGGTGGTACCTGAGGTAGCAGTTGTAGTTGCTGATCCAGTTACGGTAGTTTGTCTAACACATACAAATTTGCCCATTTTAATTACACAAACGTGACCAGTTGGGCATCTACCTTCTCTTGAGCAAATTTGGGCTTGCTTCAATGGTGAAGCACATTGACCTTGGTAGCATTCATAACCTCTAGGACAAGCAACATGATTCTTAAGGCAGATATCAGCTTTTGGATAACAATTACTATAAAGTGGATGAACATTCTTACAATAGAAACCAATTGGGCAAGATGTCATACTGCAAATACCCCAATGATCATTAAGGTCCATATTTCCACTAGTTTGACCAACGTGATTACCACCGTGATTACCACCGTGTTTACCGCCATGGTTCCAGTTATTACCACCGTGATTCCAGTTATTTCCATGACCCAAATTTTCCTCTTCACAATAAACTGAAGATAAAACTAAGGAACAAATTAATGCTAAAGTATATAAAACTCTCATTTTTCTTTGTAAATATCTATTTATATAATAAAAAATATAATTATAAAAATTAAAAATTAAACTATCCTATTTATACAAATAATTTTTTTCAATTAAAAAAAAAAAAAAAAAAATAATTATCTAAAAATCCAAAAATATTATTCTTACTTGTAATTTTGATTTGTTTCATTTATATTTTAATATTAAAGTCTCCCTTATTAAAAATCCAATATTAATCTATAAAAAAATTAATTTCATACCACATTCCACAAAAAAAAATAATTATATTATTTGTGTTTGAAAAAAATAATTGTTTCGATTTATAAACCATTAATATTATTAATAATGTATTGTATCATACAAAAAATGATATTTATTATAGCATTAATCCCTTAAAAGGCAATTATTGATTATTAATATTATTTTCTTATTTATTTATTATTTATTATTTATTATATTTCATTCATCATAATATTAAAACCTTTCTTTGTTAAATTATCTTGTTGGATTGAAATATTACTTGAACTAAATAACCAATTATTAAGTGATACAATTACAAATGGTAATAAGGCAATTGAAGGTGCCATTACTAATAAAAACCAAAAAGTTGGTAATTTAAATAATTCGAAAATTACATGAGTTGCATCTGGTTCGACATGTTGACCAATGGCACTATATAACATTACAAAGAGGAATGTAGCGATAACTGAAGCAGAAACAGCAAAAATAGTTCTACCGGTCCAATATCTTGTAATAAAACTAATTTGAAGATTTTCAGTAACCACTAAATAAATATATGCTGATGTACCTATTGACCAAAGACCTAGAGTTTTTCCACCTTCGATAGTTGAAGTATTCATAACAAAAAATGTTACAAAGAAGATGGTTGCTGATTGCCACATACCCATGAAAACCCACCAAATAAACTTCAAAGTAGAAAATGGTGTATTTGATTGACAAACACGATAGAGACTAGGATTATTTAAGAGCTCTTCTTCTTTGATATCTTGATCGAATGTGCCTAAAAAGATTACTGGTAGTGATGTGAAGAGGGCATTATAAAGAGTGAATAAAAAGTCGAAATAAATCATTTGACCACTAAAACCTGAAAAGAAACCAAACCAAAATTGACTAATTGATAAAGCGATATTCTTTGAGAATGAATATAAAATTAATTTTGTAATTCTTTTGTAGTTACGATTACCATGTACCAATATTAAACGTTTAAGCATTGAGAAATTAGCAATTGCAAAATCCGAAGCTAAAACTGCTTGCATACCTTCACGACCACTAATACCAACACCAACGTGAGCTTTTTGAATCATTGGGACATCGTTGGCACCATCACCAATTGACAATGTAATAGCGCCATCACCAAACAATATGGAACGCTCTGCTACTAAATTTACAACCTTAGCTTTTTGAGATGGTGAACAACGACAGCAAACTACAGACTCGCATGTTTTGGCTACTTGGAGGAAGAAATAACGTAAGTCTGGTTCTAAAGCTAATGCCAAAGTTGAACCATCAATAATAATGGCAACATGCTTAGTTACTTGATCACCAGTACTCTTATTTAAAAGATTGGGGGCATCTGATGGTTCCAATTTAAGCTTTTTGGCTACACTTTCCATAACCTTTGATACAACTATATATGAACCCCATTTACCGGTCATATCATTTGAAAAACCTTTTTGATCTGAAATTTCTAATAAACGTTTCATAAGAGATTGTTTTGAACTTTCATTTAATATAATTAATTCCATATCTTCATTAATAACAGCGGATGCTGTACTAATACTAATTGCCGTTTCTTGTTTATCACCAGTTAGTACCCACACTTTTATACCAGCTTCTCTAAGTGCTGTGATAGTCTCTGGAACATGATCTTGTAAACGATCTTCAATACCTGTCGAACCAATCAATAGGAGATCACGCTCAATAATTTCACAAGCTTGATCTACTTTTTCAGATTTCTTTGTTAACGAAATTGATGCTTCTTGATAAACTTTATTCCATTCTAAATATTCTTCTGGCTCTAATGTTTTAACAGACATACAAAGAGTACGCAAACCATTGCATGCAAATTCGCTTAAATGTTTTTCGGTAGCTTGAAGTACTCCGACACAGTGATCGGTATTCTTTTTGGCACGGTCAAAGATAACAGAATCTGCACCTTTACAATAAAGTTTAATTTGGTTTTGGGGAGTTCTAACAATAACTGACATTCTCTTACGATAACTATTAAATTCTAAAACATTTAAAATCTCATAATGCTCGTCTTTACCATGAATAGAAACTGTGATGATTTTATCTTCTCTTGATTTTAAAATGAAGCCATATTTAGCGGCAGTAAGCGTTAATGATTCTTCATCTGGTGAGGCAGCTTGATATTTTGGTATATTGTTATGGTGTGGTGCATTCATTAAATCACCACTATCTTGATGTTGCTCTACCAATACTGTATTACAAATTGCTAAACAAACCAAAAACTCTTTAATATATTCGCCTCTACTTGCCAATAGGGGTATTGCTTGACTTGATAATAATGCTGTAGAATGCTTCATTGGGGACTGAGCAACTGGTTGCTCTATACCAGTACTACTATTTAAATCATTTTTAACCAATGTACGTAATCTATCCAATGATGGATCTTCTGGGCCATAAACCTCACCGCCAATTGAACAACGATTGAAAACCATTTCATTGCATGTAAGTGTACCTGTTTTATCACTAAATAAATATTGAATTTGACCCAACTCTTCATTGATATTTGTATTTCTACAAGCTGCTGGGGTATCGGATGCTTCATCATATAACTCCAAATCACTATCGATAAAATGAGCGTTTGAAACCCTAATAATTTCCATACTGACATACATTGATAGCGGAATTAAAGTGTTGTAAAGAATTACATAACTGACATAAATAAAATCTTGACCTTGATTTGGATCGTAATGAATATACCATGGTTTGGCCTCTGAATCATCTTCTAAATGCCATCTATTATGACCAATTGAACAAACTATACAAATAATGGTTTGAAGAAGGAAGAGGATTAAAAGCTTATTATTTACACTTCTCTCAACAGAGCTTCTCTTTTGACTTGCTTTTGATGAATTCTTTTCAATCTTTGTGTCTACACCTGAATAAGTAACTATACCAATAATCCAGTCAGTATTTCTTAATTTAGTACCACGAAGTAACAATTGATCAATAGAAATTGGTGAAAAATTTGTAGATTCTACAACCGATGAATCTATGTTTGAACGCTCAAATCCTTTTAATATAGTTAGAACACCACTAAATGAATAAATGTCATTGTTTGGTCCTTCATAATCTACTTTACAACTGAAATCGTCTAAATCTTGTGGAGTTTTAATCCATTGGCACTTGCTAACACATGACTTTGCTTTAAGATTTGTTTCACCATCTAAATTTGCTGTTTCTAAATAACTTCTACCATCAGGTCTTGAGGTTGATAAACATATAATATCCGCTGGTAAAAGTTCACCATTTTTTACATAGACGATATCGCCAACCTTAATATCTTGCCAACAACTCTTTTGAAAAATACCAACATCAGATTTATTGATAAAAGATGCAGAAGATTCATTAGAACTACCATTCTTTTTAACTAAACCAAAAAACTCTAAAATACCAAGAAAATCCAACTTATTTGAAAAACTAGAATGACCATTTGATTGCTCGTTAATATCTGGTGAGTAATATGGTGGTCTATAAATACAAGCTTCACGACCATTTATCTCCCTATCTTGTTTGTGACGCTTCAAATCTTCAAGGAATTCTTTAGATGCTGTAGTTGCAATAACGACGAGTAATGGAGTAAAACTGGATACTGGGCCAACTGGGGAAAATGAAAACATACAGAGAATGACAATAGCAAGTGTATAAAGATTAGCCAAACGAGAGAATTGATAAATTATAACCTTTGGGATAAAAGTCACCACATTATATTTACTTGTAATAACTTGATTGGATTTCATAACGAAATTTTGTGAACTATCTTTAGTGGCGACTACTGCAGTACTACTTGGACTGAATGACTCTTTAGACTTTTGATAAAAACTTTTAATTGACATCTTGAATGTTTCGAATGGTGATAAACTTTTACTGATGGATGATGTGGTAGCCAATGCTTTCTTAACATCACTACCATAAAAGAATATACAACGATTTGATTTATTACTGACTACTTTATCTTCTTCGTCTCTAGTATCGAAACCACCAACAAACGAAGCTGTAAACAATACCAATGAATTATTAGAATCTTGAATAGTAACAACCGATACAAATAACTTTAGTCCCAGTAATAAACCACCAATAATATTTAATATACAGAGTAATGAGACAAACAAAACATAACTCCAAAATGCTAACTGAGCTTCTGTAAAAGGTCTTGAACTTTGAGTGTGTGCATATGTAAAAGTCATGATTAAATCCAGTATAGTTGTCCCAAAACATCCAATTACATATAATAAAATTAAATATGGTTTTAGTTTTTTAACACCATATGAACCAATTACTAAAAATAATGCTATAATAAAAAAAATAGTAATATGTTAATATCTATTAAATATAATATGATAAAATATTTATTTTTTGAAATCTTACCTTGAAAAAATATTAATAACATAACATAATATTTTTCTAAAACAAAAATTGGCAAAGCTCTTATAAGATTGCCTATGGTTTGAACCGTTATTATATATGTTAACCATTCTCTACCGACTCTTAAGGCAATTGCATTTCTTTTCTTCCTTTGAACTGCACTATGCGATGCTTTTAAAATTTCTAAATATTGATCTGGAACTTGGGATTGATGTTGTTCGTGAATAAAGATATTATTTTTAACCTTATTAACAAAACTATTTTCATTATCTTCTTCGTTGCTGTTAATTTTATTTTTATTATTATGATTATTATTATTATGATTATTACTATAATTATTATAGCTATTTATATTTTTATTATTTGATTGTTCGTTTTCGTAGGAGTCTTCTCCCTCGTAGCCATTATGTAATTGATTAATTGGTGTATCACTTCTATCTAAATCAAATCCTACTTGTTTATCTTTTTTATTAATTTGATTTCTAAAAAAGTTATTTAAATTATTTATACCCTTCTTTTTAGGTGGCTTTTGAGTTTTATCGACGTGAAAAGGTGATGATGGGAGTGAATTTAATGGTACTGATGTAAAAATTTGTGATGATTCTGTTAAATTATTATTATTATTATTATAATTATTATTATAGTCATTATGTGTATTATTGTAAATATTATTATTATCGTTTTCTAAGTCTTGCATATTTAATTCTTGTTCTTCAAATTCCTCTTCTTCATATCCACCAGTTTCGTTATTATGTTGATAATTATGATTAAGGTTGTGACTATGATTAAGATTATGGTATATATTATTACTATTGCTATTATTATGGTTATGGTTATGGTTATGGTTATGGTTATTATGGTTATTATTATTATGGTTATTTATACTTCCATATACTGTATAATAACTTGAATTTCTATTACTATTACTATTATGTTCGATTGTATCATTTTCATAACCAACACCGACTAACAACGGATTATTAGATCTGACGCTATCTGTTAAATCATCCTCATTGTTTGAGTTTATTATTGCTGAACCATGATGGAAATAATGTGAATTATTGTTATTATTATAATCTTGTTCATTTGACATTATTATTTGTATATATTGTGTATCTATTTGGGAATTGAAAAATAAAAAATTATTTTAAATTTTTTTCTTTTCTAAAAAAAACTCATTGATGTAAAATTTTTATTTGTTTACTTTTTTGTTTTTTTCTTTCTATCTATCTGTTCGTTTATTATTAATAAATATATTCTATATATAACTCTAATTAAACTAATAAATAGAGAAAATAATTTATTAATAAATACTATTGTAATATAAGTTTAGAAATATAAATAAATAAGTATTTAATTATTATTATTATTATAACTATAATTATTTTATTTTGTATTATTACTAATTTAATTATTATTATTTTAAAAAATTTATTATTTTAAAAAAAAAAAAAAAATTAATTTAAAAAATTTAAAAAAAATATAAAAAAATTAAAAAAAAAAAATAAAAATAAAAAAATTCGTTTTTTGTTTGTGTGGTGTGAATGGGGTGTTGATTTGTTTTTTTTTTTGAATAAAAAGCAACTATAAATAATTTAAATACTAATGAAAATATATAATGATAATAAAATCCTATTTATATATATTTACATTTTTCATAGTCTGATTAAATGAAAAAAATAAAAAATAAAAAATTTGGAAAATTATAATTTATAAAAATTTTACAAAAAAAATAGAAATTTTTTTGGTGTATGTCTGTAACCTACTATATTTTTCGATAAGTTTGAAAATGTTGCAAAATTCATTTTAAATAAAAATAAATAAATAACTAAAAAGAAATATAAAATATAATAAATTATAATAATAAATAATTTACCTTTATCAAAGTGCAGATTTTTAAATAAAAATTATAAAAAAAAAAAAAAATTAAAAAAAAAAAAAAAATTAAAAAAAAAATATTTTGTTAAAAAAAGTTATCGGTTTGACACATGTGGTCGATTTCAAAAAAGGCATTATAAAAAATTAAAATAAAATTTTATTTTACAATTTTATGTTATATAAAAACTATAATAAAAGTATAAATACTTATTATTTTTTTTTTTTTTCTATCAGACTGTAAAAAATATAATTATGATCAGTATTATAAACAAGATAACTTTTTGCCATCAAAACTCAATACATCAGATAAAATATTGCAATTGATATTTTAAATCGGCACTTATTTTCTATCAATCAAATTTTAGCACATAGTTTTAACAAAATAAAATTTGATTAATTTTAACAAAGCAAAATTTGTTTAAACTAAAAATAAAAATAAAAAAGAATTTTTTTTTAAAAATATCAGATATTAATTAATTTTTTTTTTGTTGTGGAGATTGCAATCTTTTCTTTGATATTTGGTATTTTTTAAAAAAAATTATTTAAATATTTATTTTTCTTTTTAAACATTTTTTTTCGTAAAATTTATTTTTATAAAAGTTTTATAAAAATATAAATAAATAAAAATGAAAATTATTTTTATTTGTATAATAGTTTTGATATTAGGAATAAAAAGTGTGAGAGCATGTTTCAGTTTGGGTAATTGTCCTAAATTAGGTGAAAGTTGCAAAGATTCATGTGCTCCAGGTTTAGAATGTGTTAATGGCAAATGCCAATCAATGACTCTCTGTGATCCCAATTTACCAATTAGTGAAGATACCTGTACAGGTTCCTTTTTATGCACAAGGATAAATGACACTGTTGGTGTTTGTTTACAATATGTATCACAAAAATTAGATGGATCTGCCCTATGCAGTAGACCAGCCAACTGTGCTTCAGGTATATGTCAAAATTCAATATGCATGCCACCTCAATCAGATATGTGTATAACTAGTAAATATTTTTCATATAAAATTGAAAAAAATTTAAAAATTAATTTATCTTTTATAATTTTAAATAGATGAACACTGTAATTCAAACAAAATTTGTTTTTTTATGGGAAACTGGCCGAATGGTTATTGTATCAACAAAAGTGATTTGGGACCTTGTGCATATGGAGTTGAATGTTATAGTGGAGCTTATATTAATGGTAATTGTGTCCCAATTTACTCTGGAAAAGAAAATGATACTTGTTCTTTTGTAACTAAATCATTTCCATTCACTAATCCATGTGATGTTGGTTTAACAGTAAGTAGACTCATTAACTATATGTAGATAATTAAAAATATAAAATTTTAAAATTTAATTCTATTTAGTGTATGGATGGTAAATGTGTTAAATATGTAGAAAAAAAAGCATGTAATAGCACTGTCCCATGTGGCCCATACGAAACCTGTCAATGCAATGATGGTGCTATTGGTGAAAATGGAGTATGCAAAATTAAATATAAACTTGATGCTGAATGTAAAAATGCAACTGATGCTATTATAGCCTGTGCAAAATCTCACCAGGAATGTGTAGATACCCCAAGCTATGTATTACAGCAATCATGTAGTCGTGAATATTGTGATTATAAAAACAAATGTTTTAAACCACAATTTTTTGGATGCAATCAAACTGAACTTTTTAAAATGTGCCCCTCTGATGACTATACAAAACCAATCGATACCGATAGTAGTGATTCAGACTCGACCTCATCTTCAAACTCTTCATCGTCTCATGACTCTTCCTCATCAAAGCAAACCTCTTCTAATTCATCATCATCATCCATAGATAATGTAAATTCATCGTTTCACACTGCTCCCTCACAAATTATTTTAATTTTAATTTTAATTTTAATTTTCACTATTTCTTCTTTCTTTTAAAATAATAATAATAATAATAATAGATTTTATTTGTAAATATATTTATAAAAAAAAAAATTAAAATAAAAAATTTTATTCAAAACAAAAAAGTTTTTTTTTTCTTTTTATTAATATGGTAAAGCGATTATTATTATTATAATTATTATTATAGCTATTTTTAAATTATTAATAAAAGTGCAGATTTATTAAAAAAAAAAAAAAAAAATTTTAAAAAAAGAAATCAATAAATCAATAATTATTTATAATTTATTATTTTTTTTTTTTTTAATTTGGACATTGTAATATTCTTATATTTTGAAACTTGTTTTTTTGGCAGTTTGCCATAACATCTATTTCACTTAAAAATTTTAACACTTAGCTTTAAAAAGGCAAAATTTGGTTAAACTAAAAATAAAAAAAAAAAGAATTCTTTTTTTATTTATTAAAAAATTAAAAATATCAGATATTAATTAATTTTTTTTTTTATAATAATTGTTGTGGAGATTGCAATCTTTTCTTTGATATTTGGTATTTTTTTTAAAAAAATTATTTTAACATTTATTTTTCTTTTTAACTATTTTTTTTATAAAATTTATTTTTATAAAACTTTTATAAAAATATAAATAAATAAAAATGAAAATTATTTTTATTTGTATAATAGTTTTGATATTAGGAATAAAAAGTGTGAGAGCATGTTTCAGTTTGGGCAATTGTCCTAAATTAGGTGAAAGTTGCAAAGATTCATGTACTCCAGGTTTAGAATGTGTTAATGGCAAATGCCAATCAATGACTCTCTGTAATCCCAATTTACCAATTAGTGAAGATACGTGTACAGGTTCCTTTTTATGCACAAGGATAAATGACACTGTTGGTGTTTGTTTACAATATGTATCACAAAAACTAGATGGAACTGTCCCATGCAGTAGACCAGCCAACTGTGCTTCAGGTATATGTCAAAATACAATATGCATGCCACCTCAATCAGATGAAGCGTGTAAAACTGGTAAATATTTTTATAAAATAAAATTGAAAAAAATTTAAAAATTAATTTATCTTTTATAATTTTAAATAGATGAAGACTGTAATTCAAACAAAATTTGTTTTTTTATGGGAAACTGGCCTAATAGTTATTGTATCAGCAAGAGTTATTTGGGACCTTGTGCATATGGAGTTGAATGTTATAGTGGAGTTTATATTAATGGTAATTGTGCCCCAATTTACTCTGGAAAAGAAAATGATACTTGTTCTTTTACATCTCAATCATTTCCATTAACTAATCCATGTGATGTTGGTTTAACAGTAAGTAGACTCATTAACTATATAGATAATTAAAAATATAAGATTTTAAAATTTAATTTCTATTTAGTGTATGGATGGTAAATGTGTTAAATATGTAGAAAAAAAAGCATGTAATAGCACTGTCCCATGTGGCCCATACGAAACCTGTCAATGCAATGACGGTGCTATTGGTGAAAATGGAGTATGTAAAATTAAATACAAACTTAATGCTGAATGTAAAAATGCAACTGATGCTATTGTAGCCTGTGCAAAATCTCGCCAGGAATGTGTAGATACCCAAAATTATTTATTACGAAAATTTTGTAGTCGTGAATATTGTGATTATAAAAACAAATGTTTTAAACCAAAATTTTTTGGATGCAATCAAACTGAACTTTTTAAAATGTGCCCCTCTGATGACTATACAAAACCAATCGATACCGATAGTAGTGATTCAGACTCGACCTCATCCTCAAACTCTTCATCGTCTCATGACTCATCCTCTTCAAAGCAAACCTCTTCTAATTCATCATTATCATCGTCATCATCCGAAGATAATGTAAATTCATCGTTTCACACAGCTCCCTCACAAATTATTTTAATTTTAATTTTAACTATTTCTTCTTTCTTTTAAAATAATAATAATAGATTTTATTTGTAAATATATTCATAAAAAAAAAATTAAAATAAAAAATTTTATTTTCAAAACAAAAAAGTTTTTTTTTTCTTTTTATTAATATGGCAAAGCCATTATTATTATTATCGCTATTTTTAAATTATTAATAAAAGTACAGATTTTTAAAAAAAAAAATTTTAAAAAAAAAAATCAAAGAATAAATTTTTTTTTTAATTTGGACCTTGTAATCATTCTTATATTTTGAAACTTATTTTTTTGGCAGTTGTAAAATTGGATTAATATAATGATTTGATTTTTTACTTCCCTAATCTATTACGCCTATTTATAAATTTATTTAATAATTTTTTTTTAAATTTTTTTTTAAAATTTTTTAAATTATTTTTAAAAATTAAAATATACACATTTATAAATAATTTTATGTAATATAAACGATGGCAGATGCAATTATTAATACTGGAATTATTTTTAAATGTCTATAAGTATGGGCAAAATAATTAAACTTTATTTTAATATTAACAAACAAAATTATAGAATTAAAGAAAATAGCAAAAGGTGATTTTATTCAATTAATATTACGTATCAATATATTTGCAATAGGACCCAAATAGTTTTAGATGAAAGAATACTCAAGCTTTCATTATAAAAAACTTGCAAAACAACAGATCGCTTTTATCTTTTCGAAAATATATATTAAATATGACCACAAGAAATTAAATTCTGAAAGAAATTCTAAACGACTTAAATTAATTAAATTATTTCGTTTCAATGGTCAAATTCTTTAAACTACAATCTTCGATACTTAATCAAAAATTAATAAATTAAAAGCATATCAAACAGCAACAATCAAATCTATAATAATAATTAATTTATTTTATCCAAATAATAAAAATAATTAAATTAACAATAAACAATCAGACAAAAAAAAAATAAAAAATTAATATATATTTCAATTAAGTTATTATCGATTAAGAGTTTATTTTTTTATTTCAAAAAAGCTATGCTATAATATAATATAATTCTCTATCTATAGTAATAAATTTATATAAAAAAATATATTTTAATTTTTTTATGTATTCAATTAAATTTCTAAATATAGTATAATTTTTTATTCAATTAAATTTAATTGAACAAACAGGCAGTATATTATATTATATTTTAACCATTGTTTTAAAAATATTATTTATTTTATTTTTTTTTAATTTTTTTTTTTTTTTTTTAACAAAATGAACGGGATTTTTCAAATAACCAATATTATATTTCCCAAATCAGATTATAGATTGAAAAATTGCCTTTTTTATAAAATTAAAAAGTAAAAACAGATCTGCGTCCCCAATTTATATAAAAATTATTTCTATAAAATCATTAATAAATTGTAAATTAAAAAAATTTATTAAATAATTTTTAATTTTTTTTTTTTTTAATTTTTTTTTTTTAATATAAAATAATTTTCATTCATTAAAGCTTTCAAATCACTCATAGTTTTTTTCATATAACATTATTTTTAACATATAATCAACATCATCACACTTGTTTTATTTTATAGATAAATTATTTTATAACAAATAAATGTTAGATTTAATTATTTTTGTAATCTATTATTATTTTTATTTAACAAGAATATATAACTCCCTCAATAATAATATCGATAATAATAATATTGATAATAATAATAATAATGATATTAATAATGATAATAATAATATAGATAATAATAATATAGATAATAACAATATAGACAATAATAATTATATTAATAATAACAATATAGATAATAATAATAATAATAATGATATTAATAATAATGATAATAATAATATAGATAATAACAATATAGATAATAATAATAACCAAAATGACAACTGCAAAATCTTCAACAACCAAATCACCGCTCCAACAAATTATTCAGTATGTCATCCACAACAATCACAACCACAGCAACCATCACAACAATCACAACAACCACAACAACCACAACAACCACTACCAAAACAACCACCACAACCATCTCCTCAATTTAGATTCAAAGCTGCCAATAAGCGTTTAAGAGAACGTATGCAACTCTATCATTTAAAAAATAAAAGTGTAATCCCAGGAGATGGTAACTGCCAAATGCACTCTCTTTCAGATCAACTCTATGGTAACTTGGACCATAGTTATGAAATCAGATTCATTATTGTTCAATGGCTTAGACGTAATAAGAATTTCTTCCTCTCAAACGGAGAGGCCATTAGCAAATTTTCTGATAAAAATTGGGAAGTATATTGTACCAAAATGGCAAAAAGTGGCTTTTGGGGTGACCATTTAACTTTACTTGCTGCTGCCGAAATTTATAAAGCTAATATTTCAATTATATCTTCGGTAGAATCTCACAATTACTTCGTTGAAATTACACCAAGTTCTGTCAAAGCCGATAAAACAATACTACTATCACATCACGCAGAATCCCATTATGGTTCATTATGTATGAGAACCAAATAAATACCAAAAATCAATCTTCTAGAGGTAAATAGTTTATTTATTTTTTTTATTTCAAATGAAAAAAAATTAATTTAATTTTTTTTAAAATATTCAGCTTTTTTTAAACAACAGCTACTTTTTATAACTTAGATACCATCTTTTTTATTATAGTTTACAAATATTTTTACTTATTAAAAGGTAAGTATTTAATTTTAATATAAATAAAACCAAAATAAACTAATAAACTAATAATCAATAAATTATAGTATTCATTCATTAGTCATTATCAGCATAAAAAAGTTGGAAATAAAACACAAGTAGAGTTTTTAAGAATAGCAAATGTCAAAGGTATTTAAATATAGTGGAAATTCATGTAGTAGCTCAAGTGATGGAACCAACATTGTTTCAAATGGCAGTTTATAAGGTGTTTCTAATAGTGAAGTTAAATGGTAGTACATCCAGTGGCAATGTATGTGGAGCAAGTCTTAATGTAATTAAATTGTAGAAGATATTCCATTCAAATAATAGTATTGACCTTGGTCCAATAAATTTCGGTATTAATATAGTTAATCAATAATTTATAGATAGAAAAGGTATATAAAATAATATAATTTTTACAAATATATTTTAAACACATATTAATAATTTATTAATTTATAATTAGGTTCATTAAATTAAAGAATATAAAATTAAAATGGTGCACCATTAATTTCCTCAAATTTAGTCATCTATATTAAAAAATAAGCAGCATTGTTAAGAATGGTAAAAGCATAATACAAATTAATGTATGTCTGTTCAGTTTGTGGTTCAAATACTTAGTCAAGTGGTGTTATAAATATGAATAAATGTAATTAGTTCCGATGGAATATATTAAAATGAATAAAGCTTATTCAAGTTGTGGTTCAAGTTCCAATGATGGTATATATATAAAGCATAAAACAAAATCAAGTTGTGGTTCAAATGGGGGCTCAAGTATGGGTTAGATATTAGTTAAAGTTGTAGTTCAAGTAACTGGTCAAGCAGTATTTTAAGAAGTGAATAAATGGGGTTAGTTCAAGTGTATATTGCAACAAGAATTATGATTTTAGAAATCATTAAATATCATCTACATAGTATTTTTAAATTAATATATAAAAAGTGTCGATTTCAAAAGAGGCATTATAAAAAATTATAATAAAATTTTATTTTATTTTATAATTATATATAGAAAACTATAATAAAAGTATAAATTTTTTTTTTTTTTTTTTTTTTTTAATTTGTATTAAATTCTAAAAAGAGAGTAAAAATGTAATTTAATTATGATCAGACAACTTTAGAAATTTCCGAATATCCGGAATTAAAACCTTTTGTAGTGATTTAAAATTATGTTTATTTTGATATTATTATAAAATAAAATAATATCGTTGGCCTATTCACTTAAAAATTTTAACACTTAATTTTAACAAAGCAAAATTTGTTTAAACTAAAAATAAAAATAAAAAAGAATTTTTTTTAAAAATATCAGATATTAATTAATTTTTTTTTTTATAAAAATTGTTGTGGAGATTGCAATCTTTTCTTTGATATTTGGTATTTTTTAAAAAAAATTATTTTAACATTTATTTTTCTTTTTAACTATTTATTTTTTAAAATTTATTTTTATAAAAGTTTTATAAAAATATAAATAAATAAAAATGAAAATTATTTTTATTTGTATAATAATTTTGATATTAGGAATAAAAAATGTGAGAGCATGTTTCAGTTTGGGCAATTGTCCTAAATTAGGTGAAAGTTGCAAAGATTCATGTACTCCAGGTTTAGAATGTGTTAATGGCAAATGCCAATCAATGACTCTCTGTGATCCCAATTTACCTATTTCTAAAGATACCTGTACAGGTTCCTTTTTATGCACAAGGATAAATGACACTGTTGGTGTTTGTTTACAATATGTATCACAAAAACTAGATGGAACTGTCCCATGCAGTAGACCAGCCAACTGTGCTTCAGGTATATGTCAAAAGTCAATATGCATGCCACCTCTATCAGATGCGTGTACAGATGGTAAATATTTTTCATAAAATTAAAAAAAATTTAAAAATTAATTTATCTTTTATAATTTTAAATAGATTCTAGATGTGGATCCTTCGCACTTTGTCAATTTATCTCAAACGGGGGGATCTGGACTAAAACTTGTGTAAAAAAAAGTGATTTGGGAGCTTGTGCATTACCAAATCAATGTTCTAGTGGAGTTTATGTTAATGGTAAATGTGCCCCAATTTACTCTGGAAAAGAAAATGATACTTGTTCTTTTACATCTCAATCATTTCCATTAACTAATCCATGTGATGTTGGTTTAACAGTAAGTAGACTCATTAACTATATATAGATAGATAATAAAATAAAAAATTTTAAAATTTAATTTCTATTTAGTGTATGGATGGTAAATGTGTTAAATATGTAGAAAAAAAAGCATGTAATAGCACTGTCCCATGTGGCCCATACGAAACCTGTCAATGCAATGATGGTGCTATTGGTGAAAATGGAGTATGCAAAATTAAATATAAACTTAATGCTGAATGTAAAAATGCAACTGATGCTATTATAGCCTGTGCAAAATCTCACGGGGAATGTGTAGATACCCAAAACTATGTATTACAGCAATCATGTAGTCGTGAATATTGTGATTATAAAAACAAATGTTTTAAACCACAGTTTTTTGGATGCAATCAAACTGAACTTTTTAAAATGTGCCCCTCTGATGACTATACCGATACCGATAGCAGTGATTCAGACTCGACCTCATCCTCAAACTCTTCCTCATCAAAGCAAACCTCTTCTAATTCATCATCATCATCTGAAGATAATGTTAACTCATCGATTTACACTGCTCCCTCACAAATTATTTTAATTTTAATTTTAATTTTAATTTTAATTTTAATTTTAAATATTTCTTCTTTCTTTTAAAATAATAATAATAATAATAGATTTTATTTGTAAATATATTTATAAAAAAAAAAAAATTAAATAAAAAACTTTATTTTCAAAACAAAAGAATTTTTTTTTTATTAATTTATTTAACCATGTTTGAATCCTAAAACGAAACCACCACCAAAACCAACTTTAAATGGAAGGTTATGAGTTAGTAATTTATAAAATGTACGATAGAACTTTTGTCTCTTTTCTTTGGTGAATTTTGGAGAATGTTGGGTATTAACTTTATCCCAATTTACATTAAGGTATCCTTTATAGGAAAGTATTTGAATGGCAATAAAAATTGAACCAACAATAAACAATACGAATGTTCCAATTTTCTTTGTTGCTAAACCTGCGCAATAGCCTAAAGTGCCACCCAAAGATGTTAAACCTGCAACTGCTTGAACTTGGTTTTTTCTTTTAACTTTATTAATTTCTTGATATTCTTCTTCTGGAATTACAACATTTTTGGTAACCTCTGTAACAGTTTCACATGATACAACTGATGAACTTACACCGCCAATAATTGATAAAAATGCTGATGAACTACCAACAATAAATGGTACTTTAAATCTATTATTATTATTGCTATTGTTATTGTTGCTATTATTACTATTGAATCTAAATCCTTTATTACTGCTGCTATAGTTTTTATTTCCGCTGCTGGTAGTTGAGCTAAAAAATGACTTTGTAAAATTACTAGTAGACTTGTTAATAAAAACACCTTTACATTTTCATTAGTAAAATAGTTTTTATATTGTTTTTTCATATTTAAGTATATTACCTTTGGTATTTAATCTTTGGAATATCTTTGCTGAGCTAAACATATTTAATATAAATTTCAATGAATATAAGTTACAAAAAAAAATATAAAAATATAAAATTTAAAAAAAAAAATTTTAAAAAATTAATATAATTAAAAAAAAAAAATTTTGAAAAATTATAAAAATTGGCGAGTTCAGCGTGGTTAAATATTTAATAAATTAGGCTATATGTGTGTGCGTAAAATATGGGTGTAATTACCAAAACTATATGTTTTTTTTCTTTAAATAATTTTTTTTTTTATTTAATTATTTTTTTTTTATTTTTATTTTTTTATGTGATTGAATCACCAATATTAACTAAGCTATCTCTTTCCTTAATAAAAAATAAATAAATTTTGGTTTAATTAATCATTTTATTTAAATATCGTAATTATTATTTTAAAAAATTATGATGACACCACGTAAAAAGTCTCTTAAAAATATAAGGAAAAAGATATTTCTTTATTTTTTCTTTTAAATAAAAAAAAAATTTTAATAAAAATTTAAAAAAACCAAGCAAATTCTCAAATCAAGGGGTATGTTCCGAAAATATTTGTTTTTTTTTATTTTTTTTTGTTTACAAAATAGATATTGATAATTTTTTTTTTTTATACTATTTTTTTATTTTTGATATTGAATAATTATTATAAGCATAATAATAATAAAATAAAAATATTTAATAATATATAAAATGAACTCAATTAATTTAGATCAATATGGTATAAAAAATGATCAAAATATACAAATAAATAATAATAACGAAAATAATTATAATAACGACAATAACTATAATAATGATGATGATGATGAAGATGATAATTTTAATGGCAAAGATTCAAATTTTAAATTTGTTTTAATAGAACAAGAAAATTTTATAGATAGTGAGGGTTGTCTTAGTTTTAAAAAGCAATATCCATCTAAACTAAGGGGTGTTATGGAAGAATTTGAATTTGAAACCACTATCGAAACTATCAATCAAGATATTAAAAAGAATTTAACAAAAAGAAATTTTTTATATATAGGTGCATTAATTATTGGACTACTCTTTATCATTGCTGCAGGGATTAAAAGTGGCGAAATAAAATCAAAAGATGAACCCATCAGACCAGGTTTTGTCATTTTAATAATCTGTGGTCTTTTATTTTTCATTTTGGGTGTTATTGGTTGTGCTACCAATATCTATTCAACATCAACATTTTCAAATAGAAACAATACAGTGAAGCTTGAAAAGACTTTAGAGAAAGTTTCAAAATATTTCGAATCTCGTCAAATTACACTTATATTAAAAAGTTCATTTGTTGAAGAGTTAATCGATGATGAAGATGGAATTGATAAAAACAATTATATTTTAAACAGGGCTTACAGAAACACAATATTTTTTAATAAGAGCGGTCAATCATTTAGATATCAACAATTTTATTTTATTCAAATTGTATTTCCAAGACATTCACAAAATTCAAATATCATTTATAATGAAAATAATGATCTTAAAAATATAGTATAAATCTTTTTAAATTTTAATAATAATAGTAATGGTAATAATAATATAATATAAAATAAAATAAATTAATATAGTTTTATAAATTTTACACTTTAATGTTAAAATACAATAGTGGTGTTTCAAGCTTAAATAAAAAAGAAAGTGATTGATATTCGGATTTTAATTATTTTTACATATATTGGTTTTTTTTATTTATTTATTTATTTGTTTATTACTTTATTTTTTTTTTTTTTTTTATACCTTTAAGAAAAAAAAAAATTAAAAAAAAAGTTGGGAGGTTAGTTTGTTTGTTGTTTTTGGTTAGTTTGTTTGTTTTTGTTGTTGTTTTTGTTTTTGTTTTTGTTGTTGTTGTTGTTGTTGTTGTTAATTATGTGCACATGAATTATTTAATAAAATATATTTGAAAAAAAATCTTGAAAATTATAATTAAAATAAAAACTTAAGTTTATGGTTGGTTGGCATATAAATTGGTCCATTCCTTAGCTGTATAAGTATAAGAAAATAGTTAGTAAAAAGAGAAATGGTTAGAGAATGAAATAATAGAAATAACAATTACCTTTTTGAATGGCATCCTTTTCATTTGATTTCCAATGTTCGGCAACATCGTTGGCTAATGGATCTAAAATAATAAAATAAAAAAATATTAATATAACTAATTATTTGTGGTGTGTGTTTGTGGTTTTGAGAAAAAATTAAGAAAACATAATAAAAAGCATGTATATTTGGTAATAATAGTATTGCTTAATGTTAACCTCTTGATTCCAAATGGGCGCATGTATTTGGACCTTTTTTTTTTTTTTTTAATTGCTAATTATAGTTTTTTAAATATGCTACAATAC